GATCAAACTCACGACTGCCTGCAAGGCAGGGTTTATGCCGCTGAGCTAAATCCCCAATCCCCAGAATTTTTATTAGAAACAACTAACATTTATAGCATTGTCTTCTCATTTATGGTACCTGTACCTCTTTCTTTAGCTCTTCTTTAATATCTCTGAATAAAACTTTGTGCTGGGTATGATGGCACACATGTGTAATTGCAGCCCTCGAGAAGGCTGGGCAGAAAGACCATGAGTTTGAGTCAAGGCCAGGTAACTTAATGACTTAGAGAGACAGTGTCTCAAGCTAAAAAACAGAAAGGACTGAGGATGCAGTGCAGTGCGGTCCAGGCTCAATTTCCAGCACAAACACAGAGTTTTGTTTGTTCTCTATGGATGTCACACATATTTTATTTAATCAGCTTCATCAAATATATTCTTAGTTAACTTGTCAACCTTGTGTGGCAGATTACTCACAAGAGTAACTGTAACAATCCCGTCATCCTTTCTGCTAGTCCCTTTGTAATGCTGTGTCTCTTGTCAACCAGAAGAAAACCAATTCATCTACCCTTTGAAGCTGTGAACCACTTTGATAGACTGTAGGGTAGGAGAGGTGCAACTTCCAAGACCAAGTCTCAAGAGGCGTGGCAGCCTCTGCTCTGCTCTTTAATGGCAGCCTCTGCTCTGCTAAGCACACTGTGTGGAGACTTCGGTGTGAAGCTTGTTAGCCGCGGAGAGCAGAGATAAACCGTGACAGGTTGGGACTCCCAACAACACCTGCCACAGTGAGCCGGGTCAACAGACACGTGCGTAGGGCCAGGTAGACTTCCAACTGCTGTCTCAGCTGTTAAATGAGTCAGTCCCACGTCACCAGCAAATGCAGTGCCTATGTGACCCAGCCCCAGTCACGGATACTAAGAACTACAACAAATAAAACTGGTAGTGGTTTAAAACTCCATTTTGGAGTGGTTTGTTACAGATGGAGAACTGAGCGATTCTGATATTACTAATCATCCTAATAATTTCTCACTTAAGTTTTCTTTGTAGAAAATCATAACTTAAACATAGTGATAGTTTTGGTGTTTTTTTTTTTTTTTTTCTTTTCTTTTCTTATTTTTTGAGACAGGGTAGCTCAGGCTGACCTTGAACTTGTAGTGATCCTTCCACTAAAGCCTCCAGAGTTCTGGGATTATAGGCACATGCTCCCACACCAGGTTCTTTGTTTCCAGTCTTTATGGTATTATTTTTACAGGAATGATTGTATCTTTATTCATTTCTTCACTTAAAAAGTCATGTTTCTAATGTCTGATCACTAAGAACGATGTTGGCTATTGTTTTTTGTCAGTACTAGCTACAAGGCTCAAAAATTTGCCCTTTTGTTTCTTTTTATTCTAATTTGTTATGAGCTTTTAATTCTGATTAAGAATTAAATTTTACACCAGGGATATAGCTCAGCGGCACAGCACCTGCCTGGCAAGCGCTAGGTCGTGAGTTCGATTCCCAGTACCAAAAAAAAAAAAAAAATTAAGTTACGCAAATGCTTTATGGACACCTACTGAGATACTTTCTCTCCTTTAATCTGCTAATGTGACAAATGATATTTAAGAATTTCATAATGGTGCATTGTTTTCACATTCCTAGCATAGAGTTTGGTTGTGATAGAAACCCATTTCACATATTTTAGATTAATTTCCTTGTATTTCGCTGAGAACATTTTCATCTATCTTCGTGAGATAGACCTATAATTTTGTTCCTTATACTCTCCCTATCTCATTTTTGTCAGAGTTGTGCTGGCCTCATAGGCTGTGTTCAAGAGTATTCATTTACCCTTTTCATGTTTCCTGGAGACGTTTGTATAAAATGGAAATAATCCATTCCTACAATGTTTGGTAGGACTTACTTACAAAATAATTTAAAATGATTAGTTTAACCAGGAATAGTTTTCTTTCTTTTTCTGATTTAATTTCTTTCATAATCAAAGACTAGTCAAGCGTCCTAAGTTTTTTCTAAGTTCGTTTTGGTGAAATACCTTTTCTTAGGATTTTTCCTAAATTTTCACACAAAGTTTTCTACTCCACTCAAGCCTACCTCTCTTTGTCTCTCTTTCTCTGTCTCCCTTTCTGTCTTTGTGTCTATATATCTGTCTCTCTCGCTTAGTACTGAGGATTGAACCCAGAGCCTTTGTACTAAACTACATCCCAGTTCTTGTTTATTTTGTTTTTATTTATTTAGTCCTTCAAAATTTATTTATTACTTCAAAATTAAGGTGATCCTCCTGCCTCAAGATCCAGAGTGATGGAATTCTATATGTGCGCTACCACAGCTCGCTATTTTTCATTTTGAGACAAAGTCTGGATCAAATTATTCAACTTGGCTCAAACTTGCCAGCCTTCTGTCCGAGTGCTGGGATGACAGCCCTGTCTCCACACGCTTGCCTGAATTTTCAACTTCATTTTGTTTGCATTGTCCTCTCTATCTCTGGCCCCGCACACTGGGCCAGAAGTTTCCTTTTTTACTCATGATGTTGTAATTGTCCTCGGTTTTCCTATAGCTTAACTCTTCTTTCTCATAGCTTAACTTTAAAAAAAAATCTTTTCGAAGAACATTTGGTTTTTTGATCTTCTCTACTGTATCTTTCCTTTTCTATTTCACAAATTTCTGCTTCTGTCTGTTGTTTTCTTTAATTCTATTTCTTTTGGCTTTGTTTGGTTCTTTTATCCTTTTATACCTTCAAGTGGATACTTTGCTTTTTAATTTGCAGTCTGTTTTTTTGTGTAATCATTGGAGGCCATAAAATTTCCTCTCGGTAAAAAATAAAAAATAAAAGAAAATCACATTGCCTTTCGGTCTCCTCATAAAAACAAAACAAAAAAACTTATTGTTGGTGGCAATTTTGTTGCATCTTACAGGGTTTTTTTTCTATGAGTTTTGATGCATAATTTTATTATCATTTAAGGTGAAAATTTTCTATTGTGATTTTCTTGGCATATAAATTAAGAAATAAGTTTTTCAATATACAAATTAGTGGAATTTTATAACTTTCTAGTTATTGATTTCTAATTTAATTTGTCTTCAGATAATATAGTCTGATCTCATTTCTTCAAAATTTATTGATTTTACTTTATGTTCTAGCAAATGATCAGTTTTGGAAAAAATTTTTTCTGTATTCTGTGGAAGAATACATATTATTTAATTGGTGTAGATTTGTACATATTTCCAAATACCAAGCTTGTACATTAAACCATTAAAATCTTCTAAGTACCATCATTAAACTCTGAAGAATTGGTCATCGAAAGAGGTATACTGGGATTTCCCACTGCAATAGTAGATTTAGGGCCAGGGATTTAGCTCAGTGGCACAGTGCCTGCCTGAAGAGCCTGAGGTTCTGGGTTTGATTCCCACCACATCCTCCCAAAAATGTAGGTTTATAGATTCCTCTTTATAATGCCATCAACTTTTACTTCATCTATTTTGAGACTAATTATAGTCCTTTGATATGTGTGGATGTGTTATCTCTGTGTGATCAATGATTTTTTGTTAACTCATCTTTAATTGGTTTTAAATTAATCTCCAAAAATTTTAGGTGTTTCTCTCCATAGAAGATTTGTATTTTTATTCATTAGAAGCCTGGGATGCTGCTTCTAACTGGGGACCCTTCTAAGGTGCCAGCTTAATCCAAGAGCCCAGTTTAGCTCACCTCATCTTGCCATGGACCCCGATCTGGTCTTCCATTACAATGCCGATATAAATACATGCCCTAGGGTAATCCCACATGTTACAAATGCTAAATCCCCTAGACTTGTACTTTTAAATTCTCCTTGGCCCCTTGGTATTTTCCCATAGTTCAAGCAGGACTCAGCTGTTTTGAAACAGGAAGACCTGCCAAGAACCTTATTTTAAGAATCCAATTTCACAGGGCTGGGGATTTAGCTCAGAGGGATAAGTGCCTTCATTATAGGCAGGCAGTCGTGAGTTCAATACCTGGTACCGATAAAAATAAAAAAGAAAAAAAAAAGAGTCCAATTTCACCCACTTGCCGGAAGTTCCACACTCAATCTCTTCCCACCTGTTGCAATCTGGCTGCATCCCTCACTGAGCACCTGAAGCTCTTCTAGTCAAGTTGATCAACCATCCCCCGTTGCCAAATTAGACTTCCTTTTTTCTTGTTTTTGTTCTATGGGGATGGAACCCAGGGCTTCATACATGTTACCCACATGGCTCCATCACTGACCCACACCCCAGCCCTAATGCATATTCTTCATTACTTTCCTGTGTGACCCCCCTATTCCCGACTTCTCCCTCTCTTAAAAGCCTTGTTAATTTTCAGAGCTAGGCATTAAACCCAAGGCCTCTCTGCTGCTAAGCTACACTCCCAGCCTTTTTGTTTTGAGATAAGTTCTCACTAAATTGTCCAGGCCGAGCTGGACTTGTGATCCTCCTGTCAGCCGCTGAGGGTCTGGTATTGAAGGCGTGCACCACTGTGGCTCTTGCTCCTAAAATAATCTTGTCCACACCCATGGCACGGTACCTTGAATTCTCCATGTGTTTGTTTCACACTCCCAAGCTTTTATATATGTTTCTTCCTCTGCTAAGAATCTATCCTCTCCTCTTTTAATAAACCTGCTTAATCTTTCTGAGATGAAGAACAGGCCTTTTCTCCAAGACATCTTTACTGACAGCCCCTAATGTGGGTCAGAAGACTACCCCGCATGGTCCATCTTACACATATTGGAATAATCCACTTATCTGTCTTTCTCCAGGAGTCTGTCTTCTAGGTAGAGCTCACGGCACAGTTATAACAGCACCTAGTAGAAGACCTGGTTAATGGTAGATAAATAAATGTTTGTGAATAGTAATAGTAACAAAACCCCCTGAGTTTGGGTGATGGTTTTGGAGTGGACAATTTGAGGTTAGGAAAGAAGGCATAGGATGATGAAAGAAGAGGAGAAGAATAAAGGGAAAGGAAATAACTATTGTGTCTAAGTTTTTCATTTTGTTCTCCTTGCTTGAGGGGAATAAAGTGGTCGTTTTATCAAAACTTTATTGAGCATCCAGTGTGTGCTAGGCACTTTGCTAGACGCTAGTAATACAAAGATGAAGATCAAAACAAAAACAAAATTCCACGTCCTTCCCCCCTCCCCAGTTTAAGGCAGATTTGGCTTGAGTCTGGGGGGACAGACGGCTGCTCATGGATTCAGCACCAGGGCGCGGCACGCCCCCACCCCCTCCCCATTTTCACTTCTGTGTCTCAGGCTGACTGGCAGGAGCTCCTTCTCCGAGCCTTGCATTTCTCCCAGTGGCCTGAGCAGCTTTCCCCGACATGCCTAATCTAGGATGGCCGAGGCACCCAGGAGGGCTAAGGGGGCGACTCAGGCCACCTAGGGGAGCTGCAGAGACACTATTCAGTTGGGCCTGCTGAAGTGCACACGGACAGAGTAATGGGGTGCTGTGGAGACGAGGGCAGGGGGACCAATGAGAACTCTTTGTGTCCTTGGAAAACAGTGCGCCCCTGTGTGGAGATGGTGGATACCGGGGTCTTGGGGGTTGCTCCTGGGAAAGTCAAAATTGAAGATCAGTACTTAGGGAAGGACTGGGCAGGCAGGATCCTCCGGGGACGTCCGGAGGACGCACTGGAGCACCCAGCGCCTCCTACTCTTTGAGCTTTTTAGCTGTCCTTTCCTCCTCCACACTGTTCAGAGGCAGTAGCCTGAGCATGGCCCAGCCTCTGGGTATTGGATGTTAGTGTCGTTAGGGTACTAATGATAGGCGTCTGCCCCATGGCCTGGGATCTCGGGGTGTGGGAACCAGGGGTGGAGGTTGCTGCTCTGACACACTGGGGAACACTAAGCCTCCTCCCCACACCACTTTTCTGGAGATCAGAAGCTCACTCTCTTATGGTAGGAGGGCACTCTGCAGCTGTCCCCGGGATGGGCAGCTGGCATAAGCATGAGGCTCTCTGGGTGAGGGGAGACAGTGGGCACCACCTCTCTAAAAAGAACCACCAAACAAAGAATGCTTGGCATAGCACGCTGCAGCCACTGCCACCCACCGCCAACGCTACCAGAGCAGGCTTGGGGAAAAGGTTTTGCATTGCCAGGGCCCAGGTTCTGGGCGCAAAGGAATATGCTCAGGCTTCTCCCTCACCACCTTGGGAGACCTGGGACCCAGCGTCCGGAGCGGGTGCTCTGAGCTGCCTTCGCAAGGCTTCCTGGGTGCTCAGCAGAGCCTCTGTACCCCAGTAACCCGCGCCTAACTGGCCTTTCCTTAGTGAAGTGCAGCTGCAGGTTTTGCACGAGTGGCCTCGGTGACATGGTGTATGGGATGGGGGTGAGGTTGCCGCCGGAACCGGGCGCTGGTTGGGGTGAAAGGAAAATGGGCGGGATGCATGAGAGCCCCCCAAGAAGAGCACAGGATAGGCGTGGGGAGTTAGTTACTGATGTTAGTTTCCGTAAGACCCTTTTAGAGACTGAGCCGGAAATTTAATAATCTCTACGGTCCTAAGAGGGCACCCACACCCGCTGAGAACACAGCCCGCAACCCCAGAGCGAAGGTAACCCGGTTCCCCTATCACACCCGATTGCTACTTTGCGGAGGCGACGCCCCCAGCCCCCGCCCCATCGGCCGGCGCTCACGCACGTCTGCACAACAGTCACCGGCGTCCCAGCCCTGACCCCTCTCGCCCCTCGCCGGCAGCACCCGGACTTCCTGACCCCCCCCCCCCGGGGGGGCCGGCTCCAGACGCGGGTGCCGGAGGGGGGTGTCCGGGGAGGGGTGTCAGGCGCTGATCTCTACCGAGCCGGCCTCGTCTTGCTCGCGGATTATGTGCACACCCGCAGTCCGCAGTGTGCGCGAGGCGCTGCGCGAGCGGCCGGGCGAGCTGGGAGCCCGCGGCGGCGACGAGTGCGTCCGGGCGGTGGCCGGGGAGCGCACGGGCGAGCGCGGGTAGCGGCGGGCGGAGCGGATGGGCAGCCCCGGAGAGCGGCCGGGCACGGGCGGCGACACAGAGTAGCCCGGAGGGCCGGGCTCCGACGCGCTCCGAGGCTCCGGAGCGGGGTTCTCCTCGGACTCCGGGGAGTCCTGCAAAGACACACGCCCCAGGGGTCAGCGGCCTGCCGGCCCGCGAGGGGGCGCGACTCCCCTTAGAGGGCGCAGTCCCGGTTCCGCACCGCAGCCTCCCGGAAGGTGGCGACACCGGTGTGGCATTGCTCTGGTTAAGCCTCACTCGGCACGGCCCCTGGCACGGAACGAGTGTTCAGTAAAGGCTGACGAGCAAAGGTTCTTCGTCCCTCCTCTTTCCACCTGCACTGGACAGCCTCGGGCATGGCCTCGGAACAGCGAGGAAAACCCGGGAGCTGGAGTCTACGTTTCAAACCCAGATCTGCCATTTACGTATCTAATGCTGTACAAATCGTTTCCTCTCAGGCTTATTTTGTAATCTCTAAAATGGGAAGGGCGCGAATATCTCAGACTCCTAGGGGTGCGTCAGAGCTCACTGTGGGTTTGGGGCGGGGGCACCCCACTACAACTACTCACCTTGTCCTTCAGGACATAGAGGGCCATGGGGTTCTTCCGGTCCTGCTCCCCGCTTCGTGGGAGGGTGTCTGCTGCACAGAAAAAGGAATGGGGTGGCTGGCTCAAGTACAGGCCGGAGCCAACAGCCAACACCTGTGCTCTGCTCTCCAAGTGGCCATCAAAGTCTCCATCACAGCCTCTACTAACATATCTGAATACTTGGGTCCTACCATGGCTGCGTTTCTCCTCGCTTTGCAGTCTTTGAGCAGCCGGTGGAGGAAGGGGCCCTGCGGAGCTGACTTCCTCCGCACCCTCTCCTGCCTTTTCCCAACTGCCTATGGGCTGCTTTTGCAGGTGCTAGACGCTTACCTTCTGTTTTCAGACGGTCATCAGCCTGATCCATGTACTCTAGGGAGCTTTGCTTCTCCATCTTCCTCTTCTTCCTGCAAACCGATCCAGCCCCCCACCAAGAACAGAGCTGGTGAATATGAGCGGGAGAAGATCTGGGATGGAAGACACAGGAGTGGTTCTGGGGGCCATAAAAGAGACCGGGTGACAGGACTAGGGCTGTGTGTGATGGGAACAGGGGATAGTTGACAAGCTTCGGAGTCAGATCTAGGTTTGCATCAGGAGGCTGCCTGACCCCAGCACTGTGACTGTCGACCAGTCCCTTATCCAATCTGAATCTCAGTAAACTGCAAGTAGTGGGTCTTAAAAGGTAGCACCCATGCTAACCCCAGCACAGAGCTCAAAGATGTCTGCAAGCGGAACCATTAGTAATAGTGAGTGGGTGGTCAGAGGCAGTGAGCCCAGAACACAGCTCTGTATGGCACAGAAAGACAAGTGTCCTGGGGCCAGGTACTCAGCTGAGGGAGGAAAGATATTTTACGAGACTTAAACACAGAACAGAGCCTAGGACTAAGGAGCACAAGGGATGGAACTTGAGTTACCTAGACTTTTTGGAGGGTTTCCAGCAGGCACAGACTGTCACCAATGTCACAAGCAGGAAGATGCCACCCGTAGACAAGATGATGTAGAGGGAGCTTCTTCCTAGAGAGGAGAGAGACAAGGAGAAGAGAGGTGGGAGAGGCTTTGTAGTGGAGCAGCAGCCTTGCAAGCAAAGCTCCTGACTGAAGAAGGAAGAGGAAAGGAGCCCTGGGCAGCATGACCGGCCAATGGTATTACCGGTACACAGCGCACTTTCCACCTGTTTCTGTCCTCCATGGACAGTTGGCCCATCCCTGCCACCTCTCTTTCCCGCCAGGACCATTCTCTAGGATGCCCTCAGTCTCCATGGCCACCTGCCTGTTGGAGTGGGTTGGGAGACTCACTGTACACGGTGATCTTGATGGGCAGGCTGCGGACCTGGCTGATGGGATTCTCCACGACACAGCTGTACAGGTCATCGTCCTCCATGAGCACGCGGGTGATGGTGAGCACCTTTTGGTCGGGGGACAGGAGCATCCGAGAGTCATTGAGCAGGGGCTTGCCATCCTTCAACCAGGTGTAGCTGGGCTTGGTGCCGTTCTCATGGGAGCAGTTCAGGGTGAAGTCCTCGCTGAGCTCCAGCACTGTGGTCGAAGCCACTAACACCTGTGGCCTTGAAATGGGCACTGAGTCCCAAGGGTGGGGGATCCTGTGAGCCTTTCTCACCGCCTACCTTCATCCCCTACCTTCTGGTGCATCATAGCTCAGTCTGTGGGCTGAGGGACCCTTTGGGGGTCCTCAGTCCAGACTTTTCCCATCAAACACTCATTCCCTAGTTGCAAGTTCCCTACTGGTCATTGGGGGAACAATACGGAGTAAGACAGCCGTGGCGTGCCACTTCCTTGCTTTCTTCCCAAATACCCAAATACCACAACCACTGGGCTTTAAGGTTTTCAACTGACCCAGTGGAAGACATTTTACTTAGGAGGAACCTAGGTCTAACTGTTTGTGCTCAGATCTTGGCTTTGGCAGTTGATTGGGTAAGTTCCTGAGCCTTTCTGCACTTTATTCTCCTCATTTAAAACATGGGGAGAATGACGTTACTCTCCCTGAATTATTGCAAGCATTAAATGACTCAAGGTGCACAAAGTATTAGAATAGTTCCTGGCATGTGATAAGCGCTCTGTCCACGTTAGCTGTGCTGTGTGCTAACTTCTAACAGTCTCTGGTTAACTCAGGTTAACCCAGTATCATTCTATTCTCCTTGGTAATGGGAATCAAAGTGCTTAGCTATATCCCCAACCTTTTTAATTATTTTATTTTGAAACAAGGTCTCACTAAGTTTCTCAGGCTGGCCTCGAATTTGGGATCCTCCTGCCCTGAGGGCAGTTGAGGTCACAGGTGTGCACCCATGCCTTTCGGGCTGGTTTTCCCTGGGTCAGGCAGCTCCTGCCCCCGCCCCAGGTGCCTGTCCCGCCTCCTTGCTGCAGAGAGCTTTACCGTCCACGGTGAGGTTGATGGTCTTCTCCCCGGTGAACGTGGCGTCGGTAATAGAGATCTCCACCTCGTAGGTGCCTTCATCGGTCAGCTGCAGATCGCTGAGAAGCAGGGAACCATTTTCAAAGAGCCGGATGCGGTCTCGGTAGTCAGGGCGCAGGTTGCCAATGACCTCTGTGCCGAGGGACTGCACCACGGTCACCGGCTTGTCCCTCTTCAGCTGCCACTTCACTACGGGCTTGTCACTGCTGGTGCTGCTGTACTGCACGGAAAGTAGGGCCGACTTCCCCACTGTGCCATGGATCAGACGCACCGGGCTGGTGATGTTCACCCCCTCTAGGGGGTCTGCGAACAGAGACCCATAGGGAAGAGGGCTGGGTCAGGCCCTTGGCACCTTGAATCTCCCAAAGCCTCAGCCCCACAGGCCTTTTGCTCCTGGCCACATGTTGCTTCCTCCCCTCTGGTGCCATTGTGTCCCCCAGTAGATCTGTGACCCCCATAGTCTTCAGTTTTGCCTCACATTTATCCCACAGCCCTCCACCTTCCTGCCTACTCTGTGGCTCTTATTCCATTGCCTTCTGCAGGAAGAAGATTCCACCTAGGCGCCACTCTGTTACTCCATTCACAGAAATACTGATGGAGCACCTTTTACACCCACGTATTTTCCTGTGGCCTTAAAATAAATCAGGAGCAAAGCAGACAGAAATCCCCGTCTCCTGAAGCTTGTAGGCCATTAGACATCGAGGCGAATTAGTCAGTTTTCTTCTTGATTAGGGGATGGGGTGGCAGGAGATGCAGAAAATGTGGGAACATATGTTTCTGAAGAAAACATGCCATGAGACAATGCTAATACAGGGAAAGTTTAAGGACCTGAAGACGTGACCTCTTCCACCAAAAGCCTTCCCTGTTCTTATCCCAGGACAGGCCTACATCTGGGTAGGCAATTTTGGGAATTCACTCTTAACGCCAGTGCAGTTTGTGTTTCTGATAGAGGAGGGACCTGATTGGGTAGAACAAAGAGTTTAAAATCACGCGGCCTCGCAGTCCTGGGCCCTACGACTTACTGGCTGCATAGATTTGGCCATGTTTCTAAGCCTCCTTCTTCTCATTTATAAACTAACAATAATAATAATAACTATAACTGCTTATCATGTCCACAGGATTGTACCAGTACAATACCCAATTCATTGTCGGATAGTGAGAAAGTACACAAGATTGGACTCCAGAGGTACGTGCCCTCTTGCTGGGCTGTATGACTTAGGAGGTGCAGGGTTTATACGGCTCATGGGGAATATGAGCAGCAGGCTGCACGGTCGCACAGTTCCTTCCAGCTCTGTGACTCTAGGATTTCACCACCTTGCCTAGTGGATAGAGACACATCTCATATTCCCAGACCTCAGAGGAGTTTAGGGCCCTGAGCAGATGCTGTTCATTGGTGTCACCCGGCCAGGTAGAGCTTGGCAACCACCGCACAGAGGGTTCTCTAGGGAAGATGCCAGTCGGTAACGGAGTAAGTTTAGGTGAACAGGTGCACATGTACCAAATAGGGGGTCCCTCCAGATGCCCGGCTGTGTCCTTTGTTGTTACCTCTAGGGTGCTTTTTCTCTCCTTACTTCTCACTCTGCTGGGACTGCTGGTTAGAGTTGGGGAAGCTGAGCAGTATTTTCCATTCCTTTTCCCCCTCCTTGGGCCTAAAGAGCCCAGGCCAAATCGGGAAATGACTGAACCAAAAGATGGCTTGTGGCAAGCAAGGCCACTGCAATCACCAAATGTGTCTGGTCCACCTTTGGAATGGCGGCACTGTAACGTAGTGAGCGCCTTGTCTTGAACCTGTTGACCGCTATTTCACCTCTCTTGGCCTCGGTCTCTTCCTCTGTATAATGAAATAGTGGAACCGAATGGTTTCAAGTGTTTCCTAACTCTGACACTGCTATTCGTAACTAGCCAGATGTGCTAGAATCATAAAGTCCTAAGAGTGGAAAAGATAAATGGGGCGCAGTGGAGCATGTCTGTAATTCCAGCATTTGGAGGCTGAGGCAGGAAGATCACTGCAAATTTGAGACCAGCCTAGGCTACACAGTGAGCTCGAGGCCAGCCTGAACTGCACAGCGAGACCCTATCTTAGAAAGACCAAAAAACAAGCAAACAAATAAAAAATTGAGAAAGATGATGCTAATGATTAAAGCTGCCATAAGTATGAATGGGTTTTTTGTAGTGAGAATTTAATCTGTGCCTTCACACACTAAGCTTTATTCTCAGCCATTTTTAAAGTTTTTAAATTTTGAGACAGGGTCTTGCCGAGTTGCTAAGTTGCCCAGGCTGAGCTTCAATTTGAGATCCTCCAGCCTCAGCCTCCCAGCCTGCTGGGATGACAGGTATGTGCTACTACACTCAGCTAATATCTGAATGCTTATGCCTGTTAATGGGAAGCCTTATTCTGGGGGACGTAGAATGAAACAAAATGATCTTTTTAACATTGTCTAGTGAAGCTATTTTTGTTCCCACAAATTTTACATAAAAATGAAAATAAACTAAATATGTTTCCAACTTATCTGCTTTGCTAGAAGGGATGGTGAGGAATTGATTCCCATTCTCCTCAGTAACTGGAGGCCACTAGGAATCCCTATGGTTCTGTATATCAGAGTGAAATCCATTTGCCCACGTGATTCATACGTTTCCCCCCCCAATTTTTAATTTCTGTAGTTCTTTAAATAGGATTCCTTGCCTAGCAACTGCTAGGCTCCAGGCTTGGCTTAATTTAAAACCCAAGTTTCAGGTTTTCCTGAGTAGACAAATAGGCTTCCATATGTACAATGTGAGGTAGACCCGGGAGAAATCATGAAGCTTCCCTAAACACCGCAGAGTGATAACTGGGGAATGTTTACTTTCCTCTCAAAATCCAGTCTAAAACAGTGAGGTACACACATGAGGCTTGTGGGTACAGGGCCCTCCTGCAGGTTAGCACATCTACGCAGGGCTCTTGCTGTGGTTTATAGTTTGTCCCTCAAGAGTTTCTGTGCTGGAAGCTTAGTCTCCAAAGCAGCATTAAGAGGGGGTGAAACCTTTAAGGGGTGGAGTTGATTAGATTATGGGGGCGCTGCCCTTGGATGGGAGTAAGGCAGTTATCCTGGGACTCTGAGTTAATAATTTTTTTTTTGAGCCAAACTCTTGCTGTGCAGTTCAGGCTGACCTTGAGCTCACTTTGTAGGCCAGACTCACCTTGAGCTCACAGTCATCCTCCTACCTAGACTCCTGAGTGCTGAGATTACAGGTGTGTGCCACCACACCCGGTTTCTCTGAGTTAATTCTTGAGAAAGAATTATTGCTATTAAAGGAGACAGCCCACCCCTACTTTCTAGCTTCCTGTTTCACCATTTGATCTTCTCTTAGGCATGTACTTGCTCATCTCCTCTATTATACGTGACATAGGTGGAAAATCCTTTTCAGAGCCAGGGCCCTGCTGCTTGTACTTTCTGCCTCCAAATCTCTGAGCTGCATAGACCTCTCTTCTTGATAAAATTTCCAGCCCAACGTGTTTCATTATAGCAATGGAAAACTGAGATCCAAAGTTTTCTCAGTTCCTTTTTCCAGGGAGCTAAACAGTGACAGTCCCAGCTCCCAGGGCAAATGGAAGGGATACCTTTTTTCCTTTAATAGTCTCTAGCCTCCCTTGAGCTTTTCTGGCTATGACCTTCTATTCCATTCCAAGCTCTTAGCGGTCATTGTGTGATGTCTTTCCCCTTTTAATTCTGCTCTCTCTGCCCATTTAAACTTTATTTATTCTGAACAAAAACAGTGGAGAAGCTGCAGCCTATGGAGTGCATCAGGCCTTACCCTGGACTAGGTGGGTGTCCTTCTCACGCCTGTGAACATGGGTGTGCCCGCATCTGTGTGGGAATGGAGCAGCCTTTCACTGCAGCTGACAAAGAGCATTTTGCTGAGCAGGCACTGTTTCCCAAATGCTCTCACTGGAATCAGAATCTATGTTAAGTTCAGAGCTTCACAACAGACACACAGAACTGGGACAGGAGCCAAAACTGGACACAGAAATGAGGAAATGGCTAACAATTCCAGTACAAAAATAAATAAATGGGCCTGGGACTGTTCAACCTGGAGAAGAAATTAACTTAATCATTGTCTGGGAGGCATGATTATGCACAAAGTTTCTGTTCTCACCAGATGCTGAATAAAAGGAAATGAACTTTTCCACAAGATGTTCCTGACCACCTGAACAATGTACGCTGAGCTGCTCGCTTGCCCCTCACAAGTAGGGTCTTGACACTAACTAAGAAGGGTCAAATTCAAAGTATAAGAACATACACGCACAAAGCCTTGGGTGCCCTTCATAGCTTCTTCCCTGAAAGAAATCATCATCTACTTTTATTTGTGGGCTCCCTTGGCTAGGCAAAAATTTTCTTTATATTTATCTTTTAAAAGCATCAGTGAGCTGGGGATTTAGCTCAGTGGCATAAGTGCCTGCCTGGCAAGTGCAAGATCACAAGTTCAATACCAGGTACCAAAAAATAAAATAAAGTAAAAGCATCGATGAGAAGGACTGGAGATTTAGCTCAGCAGTGTAAGTGCCTGCCTGACAAGTTTGAGGTCAGGAGTTCCATCCTTGGTACTAAAAAACAAAACAAAACACCAGCATCCATGAGAGATGGTACAATAGTGCACACTTGTAGTCTCAGCACTGAAAGAGGCTGTAGCAGGAAAGCCACAAGTTCAAGACCCACCTGGGCAGCTTAGTGAGACTGTCCCGACATAAAAAATAATTTAAAAGGGCTGGGGCTGTAGCTCAGCGTGAAGGCCCTGGGTTCAATCGGGAGTGTGGGTAGGATTCAGAGGGGTGATACCAGATTTGTCTTCTAGGATTTGGTCTTCCGACACTTTTTCTGTTCTCTAACAACAAGAACTGCAGTTATTCCTTTTTTCACTTGCAGGATTTTGTTTGTGTGTGTCTTCATAAGAAAAATCCTCCATCCCTTTAACCATCAGAACTTGGATCTTTCTCTGACTGTACTAATACAGCATTTCCTTTTGGGTGTGGTGACCAGAACTATTCACAATAGTCTGAGGGCAGCACATGGTTTGGTCTTCTAAGAGGAAGAGCATGCTGTTTTCTGCTTTTGGTTTTCAATATTCTTCTAATTATTGACAATTCAAGGAAATACTCCTTGCCGTCACTGTTCAGGTGCACTGCTTATTGTATAAATGCTGGGGTTACTGGGTTGTGTTTTTATGTTATCCTGTTGAAGCCTATGAAGGACTACAGAAGTGTGAAATTTATGTTTTTTCTTTTTTTTTTTTTTTTGTCTTTTTCTTTTTTTTTTTTTTATCGGTACCAGGGATCGAACTCACGACTGCTTGCTTGCAAGACAGGCACTTATGCTGCTGAGCTAAATCCCCAGCCCCTCAGAAGTGTGAAATTGTTTGAAGGGCCAGGCATTCAAGAGTGGAGCAGAAAATTAGGAAACCAAAACTGTAAAGAAGACCCTGGGGATCCAAAAGGAAGGGCTGGAAGCTTTTTATCGACATTTGTTTGAATGCTCCATGAATAGATTGTGATGAGGTTAAGAAAACATTATTTGTCCATACCAGGACAAGAACATTGAAGACTATTACTTAGATGTTGTAAATATGAATACTAATAACAACAATGAAAAAACTGGCATTTGGAGGGATAAGGGACTAAAAAATTTAAGATGTGTTGTGTACATGTACCAACACTCCAATAGGATGTAACCATTATATATTACATGTTTGCATTAATAAACATAAAAATTAGGGCCAGGGATTTAGCTCAGTGGTTTAAGTGCCTGCTTGGCAAGCACAAGGTTGTGAATTCAATCCCTGGTACCAAAATAAATAAATAAATACATAAATGAAATAAAAATTAAAATAAAAAATAAAGACTTACTTTCTTGAGGCTAGCATGGTGATTACTATCATAACTCAAGATATAAAATAAATCTTTAAATCCAAGTCCATGTGGTCCAATCCTTCTGTTAGTGCCAACCTTAAAACTACATTTCCCAGCTTCCTTTGCAGTAAAGTATGACCATGTGACTGAGTTCTAGCCAATAGAACTAGAAGTGATATGCACCATAGATATAGTTTAGCAAAATCTCCCTTCTATGTTCCTCCATTTTTTTTGTTTGTTTTATTATCTTAAAAAAAAACAGATACAAGTGATATGAACTATATATGTACCAGTTCCCCCAGGCTGGTTTAAAACTTGTGATAGTCCTCCTGTTTCAGCCTCCCTAGTGTCCTGGGATTACCGTATATGCCAACAAGCTTGGTTGGTTATGTCCTCCCAAAAGCTCATGCTTTAAAAGCTTGATCCCCAATGTAATAGTACTCATAGATGAAGCCTAGAGAAGTGATTGGATGATAAGACCACTAAGTTCGTCAGTTAATCGGCTTGAGCCATGGATGAGTTTATAGTTCAATAGGCTATTATGAGGCGGGGCTCAGTTCTAGGCAATATGTCACTGGCATGCCACTTTCAAAGTGTAGCTTCACTCTGGCCCTGTCTTCTCACTTCCTCTACTTTCTGGGTGCCATAGGTGAGCAGCTTTACTCTGTCATAAGCTTCTATTATGTCATATCTGGCTACAGTAATGGCACTAACAAGCCACTACTGAAATCTCTGAAAAAAAAATTTTTTTTTGTGGTCTTTTTTAACACTGCGTCTCATTATGCAGTTCAGGCTGGCCTTGAGGTCACATTGTAAGACACCAGGCTGGTCTCGAACTGACAGTGATCCTCCTGCCCCAGCTGGGATGACAGGTGTTTGCCACCACACCTGGCTTACCCCTGAAATTGTAAGCCAAAATAGCTTTCCTCCTTTGAGTCACTTTCCTCTGGTCTTTTGTCCTAGAGACAGAAAGCTAGCACACATCCAACCTAACGATGTGCAATACTGGTCACTGTATCCCCAGTCCTATCTCACTTTTTGTTCAGAGTTTCCCCTGGAAACCTTATCTACCTCTCTGGATCCTCCAAATTCCTGCCAGTCACTAGATCTTGACTTTACCTCTGAAATATTAACTCAGTATGTCTCATTCCCTCTTATCTTTATTGAAGTTCAGACCCACGTTATTTCTTCTCTGAGATATTGTAATATATTGCTGTGGGTACATTTGCTATGCATACGATGAAGTCCTACTCCCAGTATCTCAGAATATGAACTTGGCAATTTGATCATTGCAGATCTAACGTTAAGGTGAGATCACTTAAGTGGACCTACTTCAGCAAGTATCCTTACAAATTGGGAAATCTGCATATACACATGCAAAGCCACTGAAGGATTAAGTTCTGCAAGCCAAAGAACTAAGCAAACCTAGAAGAGAGACCTGGGAAATTCCTTCCTTATGCCTTCAAAGGGAGCATGGATGGCCCTGCCAACACCTTGATCTCCAACGTCTGGCTTCCAGAACTGTGAAGCAATGAATTTCTGTTGTTTCAGCTACCCAGCTGTGGCACTGCAGACAGCCTAAAAAAAAATACAAGCTTCCTTTCCTATCTCATTTGCCTCCAGCTTCCCCTCCAGCGCTTCACTGCAGACTTGTGCCCATACAACCTTGCCTGTCCCCAAATTAAAAACCATTCAGTTGCCCTCTCCTTCCATATTTATATTCCAGGCTTTTGAGATCATTTACAAGGCTCTTGTCTAACTCAATTCCTGCTTCCTTCTCCAGCAGCAATGAATAACTGGATTCTACCTTAACACATGATGCTATTTCAAGCTGTTGACCTTCACGCATTCACCCAACAACAATACCTACTCCCATTATCTGTGTCCCTCACCCTTTAAAATTCAGTGCAGACATTCCCTCTACCAGGAAATTTCCTTTGGTATTCTCCCACTTTCATGTCATACTGGTAGCAACAGCTTCTTGGGTAGGGGTAAGTGACCTTTCTCTGATTCCTATGTTTTAATCTGCATATCTGACTCATACAATATGCAGTGTACAAATGACTCGGCATCTGTTTGCCCCATTGAATTGCGGGTTCTTAGACTTTCTATAATTGTGCGTGTGTGTACACATAAATACATCTAGTGTTAAAATGAGATGAATTCTCCAACGAGTTGATAGGGGGCGCTAACAGGAGGGAGGTGCCTCTAACGTGGAGTGAATCAGGGATAGGCTGGAGTTACCATCCCAAATCAGGAGGCTCGTTATTTCCAAAGTTTCTTTCATTGCTCATGATATACTCGAGAAGCCAGAATGAGGGTCTGGGGAAGCAAAAAAGCAAGATTTCCTTTGCCCCTCCCTCCAAGCCCCACCACAATCCCTTGGAAAGAATGCTGCACTGGCCCACGCCAGCAAGTCATCCCATACGAAGTGGCATGGTGCCCTCCATCTACCGCTCTGAATGCCGTGGGAGCTGCAAAGTCATGCAGCCTTTTGGGGGAGGGGGCCAGAGGCTCCCAGAATGAAGAAATACATTCAACACTAATGCCTGGATTCACTGAGATGCTTCCCACGACAGCTGCCCGCTCTCCCCTCCTCCCGTCCCAAAGCATTCAGGCCCTGGGCTTTCCCCTCCCTCTCCTTTGAAAGCCCCGGGTCCTTTCTCCAGACCCTTTCTAACCCTTCAGGGTGTCCTACCTGGCTGGATCAGAAGCAGGTAGACCAAGGGAGCGAGACTCAGGGCTCTGGAGCCTCTGGACAGGGCTTCCCTTTCTCTCTTCATTTTGGGTGGCGTTCTCCAGCTCCGGTGCAGACAATTAGCATGATTTCTCCACTCTGAGCACGTCTCTTTGTACCACTCGGAGTTTCTCTGCCCGAACACAACCCTGCCAACTTCCCTCTGAATACACAGAGCTTTGTGTACTGCTGGACTTGTTCTTTCCTCTCTCTCAGACCTTGCATTTTCTCGTTTCCAAGCCCTACATTCCCAGTTTGGACAGGGTTCCTGCTAAGGAGATAACCTCCATTGTCCTTCCTGGGGGGCACGGGGGGCCCAGCGGTTCTGTGCTTGTCTGTGCTCAGTCCCACTCCTGAGGCAAATGAGAATCTGGGCTCAGAGAAGCTACCGGCTAGGACATACACTCCTCCGGCCCTTGTGTCCCAACCTACCCTGTCTACACCTCACACTCCTTGGTCCTAGGAGGGAGGGCCTGAACCAGGACAGACCTCTAATAAGCTCTGAAAAAGGAGGGAGAGGCACTTTTAACAAGCTGGGAAGCGAGTGACTTGGAGAATTGCTGAAGAAATGGAAAACTTCAGCTTTATCCCAAAGAAGAAGATTGGGAAATGGCTTGAATTTGTTTCTTTCTGCCTTTTTCCCACCCAGCTTGCGATCCTCTCCTACATAAGTACTGGGAGCTCTTTCCACACTCCACCACCTCCTGCCAGTGCTATAGAATGTGTCAGAGCAAAGATGCCCCAGAAACTAGCATCCTGGGGTTCTGTCACCAGTGAAACAGCCCAGCTGTGCCATGCTACACACTTAGCTCTATTCTGATCCCCCATCCCCCTGGGACAGGTGCTCGGTGACTGTATGATCTTAAAGAGGCTCACAACCTCTTGGAACCTCTGGTTTCACATCTAAATTGGGGAAAATAATAACCTCGTTGGAGGAACTGTTGGAAAGACTGACGATGATTTGGTGCAAGAGAATGTCTAGCATATTCCTTATTACAGAGTGCCATTTAAACCTTTGTTCCTGGTACTGGGGATTGAACCCAGGGCCTTTGCACTGAGCTGCTTTCACCTCCCTTTTATTTGAGACAGGATCTTACTAAGTCACTAAACTGCCCAGGGTGGGCTGAAATTTGCAATCTTCCTTCCTTAGTTTAAGATGACAAAAAAGGCTTAAATGCTCTCTCTCTTGGTCTCTCTGTCTGTCTGTCTGTCTCTCTTTTAAATTGCCTTTTCTTTCTTTTTTTATGCATACAGGAATCACTATTTGTTGATGAGACAAAGTTTACCACTCTTCTTCTGGTCACCTCTAACCCTGGTCTTAGTTTTGTAAATGCCTTCCTCTATCTAATCTTTTTATACACTGGACGAAGTCTGACCAGGTTAGGTTTGCGGTGCTGAAGGACTCCATTCTTGAACCATGTGCTGTAGTTACTGTGGCCATCTCCCTAGCCTAGAAGAGTCATCTGGGCAGGGATTGTAACTCTTCATTCCTCTCAATCTCCTCACTGGTTCTAGGATCCAATTTTGAGCTCTGCATAATGTGGCTGCTCCAACAATGGGGCAGACTTCCTGTCTGATCCATGGCTCTAAGACCCCTGCTTCCTCAGAGCACTCCAGCAGATCCGCTTCCTGCAGCATTGTGCTCTTCTGAGCCATGTAACCTAGTTCTCTTGGCCCCTGCATGGCACACAGTTGCTCTAGGCTCCTCCTCCTCTGGCACCACCTCTGGGCTCCCAGCTCCTCATCCCTGCACACAGAGTAGCCCAGGCCTGCCGGATCTGCTGTACACCAAGCTCTGTGCAGAGTCCCAGAGGGCCAGCAGCTTGGACCACTCCACACCCTCAGTGTCCATCCCTGAAACAGGAGAAAGGCAGAAACCAGCGGTCTGAGCCGAGTTACATCCTAAGCAGAACACTGTGGGAACGGGAAAAAAAACAAACTAAAAAAAGCTAGGTGGGAATTGTAAAAGCCAGTACTGTCAATGTCTTATACAAACTAGACAGTTATTCTGTAGTAAGAAATAACCTTGTCCCATTTCTTTAGTTCCCAGAGAAGAATAAGTAGTCTGCCCAGAGTTAAAATGCCCAGAGCTATCTTTTATGAACCCAGGTCCCTAAGTTATTTAAAGACAAACAAGTAGAAATTACAAAAGAAAGAAAAAGGAGGGCAATGGAGACAGGAAAAGATAACATACACACACACACATACACACACACACACACACACACACACACCTCCATTTTAAAAATTCTACCACTAGGGGCTGTGGATTTAGCTCAGCGGCATAAGCGCCTGTCTTGCAAGTGTGTGATCATGCTTCCATCCCTGGTACCGATGAAAAAGAAAAAGACAAAAAAAAAAAAATTCTACCATTATGTAAGGGTACCCTCAAGCATTTGCCCCATTCCTTTCTTTTCTGGCTCTGGAAAGATTTGGAATATTACTAGAGAGGATTGGAAATATCCTAAATAATACCATCACAGCAGTGGTATTTTTATAGTCAGCATTCTTTCTTCCTCCCCTTCATTTCCTGCTATTATTTGTGTCATATCTATCTCCGTCATTACCTTGTAAATTACCCTTGGTAACAGACTGAAAAATCTTAATGAATTTAAGCCTGCTCTGAAGGAAAGAAAAATATCTACATATACCACTTGGGGTAGAAGGTAAGGGCTTCAGCAGAAAAAGTTAGAAATTTTTTTAAAAATTTAAAAAGTCAAATAATAAAAAGACAAATTGTTTTGCTTTATAAGTAAGCATGAATTTGGGGATGGAGGAAGAGCAGAGGGGAAAGAAATGATAGGAAAAGGGAATGAGAATGTAACAGGGTAAGGACCTGAGAGAAATCTGAGAATAACTTGTGTTGTTTCACCTTGTCTTTCCCAAAACTTTCAGTAAACTTTGCTACAGTCAAGTGATATGTGTACATGATTCTGACCAATGAAACCCGGTCACAGTGACGGGACAGCCACCCCCTCGATTATATTGTAGAAGACACAAGCCGCAGAGAGAGCTTGTCCTATTGATTGAAGAAACGCACTACTGCACCATAAGGAACCGCTGGCTGCCCTTTGGAGCTGACAGCCAGCAAGACACTAGGATGTCAATCCTTGTCGGTGTCGCTCCCGGCCGGCAGGATAAACACACGACAGATTCTGACGGTGTGCAACCTTGTCTTTATTTGTCTCCGCGTGGGCCCCGCGAGGCCTCCGCTCTGCCACCAGCCCTTTCTCGCCGGTGGACTTTCTCTATCTCTCTCTGTGCTTCTCTCTCGTGGCAGGAGAGGCATTCACTTTTATAGGGTAACAGTGGCCAATCAGTTCAAAGCGCGTGATGCGGGCTGATTGGCTAACATCAGTTGTTGCTAGGCAGACTATCTTACAGAGCGGGTTGTTTAAGTCGCCAGGGCAATCAGGGGGCAGGAAGCAGGCGCCAACTTGGCTCACTCGATGGGAGGGGTAATCTAGCTCAGGCTTTGTTCTTTCTTACAGGCCTCACGTCCGCCAAGTAAGGCGACCGGGCTCGGCCGCGGCTCCCAACAAATCCTATACCGACAAATTGAATTCTCTGAACAATCATATAAGGTTAGAAGAGGACCCTGACTTGGACAGGAACATGGACCAGCTTACAGCTTAAGAGAGGTCTGGTGAGATACTGAGCAGGGGCCAGATCTGAGTGGTCCCTGGTCTCCTGACTCCTTGAAACTGTAGATAATAAACGTATGGTTTTTAAACTGCTAAATTTGCGGCAATTTGTTATGCAGTAGAGAAAACCAGTGTAGATTAGTGTGCATGAGTGTGCGTGCATGTTTATGGAGAGAAAGGTTGAGTGCAGGTCTTGCTCAGTGTGGGATGGAAAAGGGATGTATCTGTAGAATAGTAAATGATCTTTGAACCAATGTACTCAGCTGAGGCAGGAGTGTGGCAACGTAGATGATCCTGACAACCCGGGTTCCCCAAACTTTGGAAAAAATCTTGATATCTTTGGTGGAGGTTCCTTCAGAGGCAGATTCTGAGATAGGAAAGCAGTTTATTTGAAAGGCAATTCTCATAGAATCAGACTCAGGTGGGTGCTGCTTATTTGAAATGCTTAGGACCAGAAGCGTTTCAGATTTTAAAAATTTTAATCTTTTGAATTTTGGGAATACTTGCATATCATAATGAGATGTCTTGGGCCTGGGACCTAAGTCCAAACACAAAATTCATTTATGTTTCACATATACCTTACCCATCTAGCCCAAAGGTAGTTTTATACAATTTGGGAGGGGGTATCGAGAATTGAACTTGGGACCATGCTTCCCAGGAAGGCTCTGTGCCACTGAGCTACATCCCTGACCCTACACAATATTTTTAATGTGTCTGAATTTGACTACAACCCATCCTGTGAGGTCAGATGCAGAATTTTCCTCTTGTGGTGTCATGTTGGTACTTAAAAAATTTCAGAGCTTGGGTTTTTGGGTTGCAGGAGCTCAATCTGTGGAATATGGGGGAATGAGACATGAAAGGGAAGGAAGCCATAAAAGTATCAAGCAAATTTCCACTGTGGAAGTCAGACCCTCACCTTTCTGAGCTCTTGCAGAAGCAGTGAAAAACACCGCTGCAGAGTTACTCCTTCTGCAAGGCAGGGAGGCTGGGTGACTACCCTAAGTTTCCCACTGTTCCAGCTGTGGGCGCAGAGCTGCTTCTAAGGGTTAAGAAAGGTTAGTATCCCAGACTTTCAACCAACCCCTCACATGCAGCCTCTAATGGCTCTGTGTGTGTATGTGTGTGTGAGTATCCACGTGTCTATGCATGTATGTATGTAAAAGCTACTCCTCAGTTGACTCTGTCAGGCACGTTATGTTATTTATCTATTTGATTCTCCAAGTACCCATTCCAGGAAGAAGTTCTTATAATGTTTTATAAACAAGGAAATCTAAACTTTCAAAATGTTAGCAATCTCCTCGGGCAGCGGGGGCCAGCCCCTCAGCACGGATGCCCCAGCAGGCATGCAGAAGCCTCTCTGTCCACCAGGAGCCAAGTATGTAAGTTGGTTTTTCTGAATTAAAACCTTGGGATTCAGTGATAGAATTGTGGGGGACCAGTGGCAGCTGAAAAGATAAGAAGTATAAAATATAAATGACCTTTATTTTGAAATTGTGGGGAGAGACACCCCCGATCCCCTGGAGCACAGCATCTCCCTGTGGGGTTGGCAATCTCTCCGTGGAACACATGGAGTGGAGGCATGTAAGTAGCCTAGGTTTGGGGTGGAACCTAAGGGGCATTAGTGATGCACAGGTAGCTCATTGGTATTCTTTTGGGGCCATAGGTAAATTCCTAGGGATGGGAGAGATGGAGCTCCTTGGTTCCACCTGAGGCTTTACCAGCTACAGTGTCCTGTCTTGGCCAAAACTCTTTCATATCCCACCTTATGATTATTATTATGAAAAGGGG